GCAAATACTGGACATGTTTAAAGACTGCCTGAGGTCAAAAGCTACAACAGTTTTTCAAACTGCTTTATATCTGCATGCAGACCGTACAATGTTGTCATGCACCAAATCTCTATGGGATATACATGGCCTTTAGGCCGACACAATGTAATAATCAATGCAAATTAAGAGACTTGAAAAAATAAGAAGGCAGTGAGTCAGGTTTGTGGGTGGAATTGGGGGTAGGGCATGCTGGGTGATTGTCCTGTGTACTAAATTTTAGGAAAATCACATAAAGAGATTCCTTCCTCTGTAGCTTTGTGGTACCCCTTGCTATGTGAAAAACCAAACTCTCCAGGTATGTGGGATGAAATTTTCTAGGAAACACACACCTAAATTATTTGGCATCTTTGGTTTTATGCATTAAGACATTGTTTTTAGAGTACCCAGGGAGACCTGGCGTGATTTCTCCTCTGCCACTTCATTGACTACGTGATGTGGGTCAAGTTGCTAGTCTCTAAGCCTCTGTTTGTTTGCTTTAAAACAGAGAAAATAATTAAAGTTAGTGTGAGAGTTTCATCAAATCTGGAAAAGTGTTTAAACAGTAGCTGGTCTAATACTCAGTAAATTGTAGCCATTAGTAATTGTAGTAGCAGCTGGAGTCACAGTAACAGCATTATTGTTGCAGAAGTGACAATTGTATTGTTATTTGTTATAACTAATTCCATGGTGTGAAATATACTCTGGTCATTCACAAGATCAGTTCTCTCTGGGCACTGAAGATCTGTCTAATTTCTTCACCATTTTCTCACAGAGAAGAGGCTCTCTGAATAGGGAGTCTTTATATGGAGATCTTACACTGAGCACCTTTTCAGTCTTTGCAGACACATATATGAAAAAGTGCCATGATAAATAGACACACTGAGAGTAAAAGCAGATCCCACAAGTGTGTCCTGATGAATTTTTCCAGTGTTTTGTAAGTACCATGGTCGTTACCCTGCCTCTCAGCAATACCAGCATGAGGACTGGCTTCCACTGTATCACAATTCCAGACAACAGAGGCCTTATTTTTAAAATTTAAAAGGATCGTACTTTTTGTTCTTCTACCAACTGTTACTTAAACTTTAAAGTGCTCTCTCTAGCTAGAAATTTTAAAAAAGCACCATTGTGATCAGTTCCTTTCAAAATCTAATTGTACATAGAAGCACATTTTATAAAGCAGCATAAATGGCCATTTGCTGCGCAGCCTCAACTAACAGAGCTCCAGAATTCCTTACGGTTTATAAATGCTTCCTTGTACATAATTCTGTTAAGCACCATTTATAGTGCAGGTGACTCAGCTGGGCATAGGCCATGTCTAAAGACTCTGGCGTGCTTGTCTAAGTTTTCACGCACCGTCAGCTTGTGGTTGGGGAGGGAAATGGGTCCTGGAGAATTCTGTAAGAAATATCTGGGAAAAATAATGCATATGTATAATAGAAGATGTCTTGAAGACTGTTGTAACCATCCAAAACTCTTATTATACACAGTTACTGGTAGAAGTGCCCATTATATTCAATCTGTACAT